GTTGAAAAAAACTGCAATAAGACATTTCTGGGTTCCCAACTGTCTCTCTACTCCTATCAATTTATATTATGTACTAAGGCTTTTAAAAGCTACTTGGGGTCCAGAATCTCAGCGATCCAATTTATGCCAGCCAAGTATCTAGTCCCTTGATAGTTAGAGGGTAAACATAGCCCACTGTAATAATGTCAACAGATTTTTACAGATTTGTTCTAAGTGTTGAGGTATGGGACATAATAATAGCAAAAGACCATAAGACATAACAGTAAATACACTCTACCCCGATAGAACGCGACCCGATATAACACGAATTTGGATATAATGCGGTAAAGCAGCGCTCCGGGGGGGGACGGGACTGCGCACTCCGGCGGATCAAAGCAAGTTCGATATAATGCGGTTTCACCTATAACGCAGTAAGATTTTTTGGCTCCCGAGGACAGCGTTATATAAGGGTAGAGGTGTACATAAAAAAGAGAAAAAAATGTAAGACTTTTGAGTACTAAAGAATTAGCAGTACGGATGTTTGGAGGAAGAGAACAACAGAGTGGAACATAAGTGAGGGCCCAATATTAAATGCAAACAGCAGGAAAAAAGGCACCAAAGATAACTAAGACAGTTAACATAATATGCGAGTAACAATATAAACAAAAATAAAATCACACAAGTACAATGATAAAGGGAAGGACCTTAATGTCAGATGACATTTTGAACTTGACACATATCTAGGGTGGAGGCTTACTAACTGCAGATATCTAAAATACATGAGAAACTGGGACTGAGAAGTTATTTAAAAATTGACAAAAAAAATTAAATCAGACAAGTTGCACAGTTCTGTGTAGACTGTTATTTAGAACAGGCTTGAAAGCTTGTCTCTCTCACCAACAGAAGTTGGTCCAACAAAAGATATTATCTCACCACCTTGTCTCACTTAGAACAGTAGATCAGTAAGGCAACCACTGCAATAATATGTATGTCTACACTGAAGCTGGAAGTGTAATTTCCAGCTCAGATTGATATAACTGTACTAGCTTTGACTGAGATAGCGTGTAAAAACAGCAGCATGGCTGTGGCTCAACGGGCAGTGGGATGGATTAGCTGCCCCAAATACATATCTAGGATTGAAGACAGGATTGTAGTGAAGGCAACTAGTCCATCCTACCAACCATGGAGCTGCAACTACATGGCTATTCTTAGCATGCTAGCTCAATCAAAGCAAGAATGGGTACGTCTGTCCAAAATTACACCTCCAGCTCCAATGTAGACATACCCTATGAGAGAATCAAGGCATACACCAGTTTTAAATGTGATATTTGTCAAATAATTATGGATTACATTGTTACATACCCAGAAAATCCCTATCCATCAACCTCATGTCCACCCATGAGGCCCTATATACTCATAGAATTTTTGATACAACATTTGTCTTGCAAAGGAATCTTCCTTGCCTTCTTCCCTCCATGCAGATTTGGGATGGAGGGGGAAAAAAAAGTTTGGAAGATTTAATTAATCTCTCCCTCTTTCCTCCAGCAGAAATAGATTTCCAAGTAGTAGGACCCTGCCTTTAGTTCTGCAAAGTAGCGTGTTTCCCCCCTGTGATGGGATATACAAACCCCACACTGGGCAACAAAGGGTTAAGGAGCTGCTGTGGGCTCAGCCAGCCTTGCCCTGCCACACATGCAAGAGATGCACAGGCTGGAGGAGGAGTTAAAAGGGAGCAGGACAGCTCACTTGGGGGTAGATCAGGGACAGGAGCAGGACTGGAACTTGCAGCTCCTGAGAAAAGTGCTGAGGGAAAGCATGATCCCTCCCTGATGACAACCATCCGAAGATCACTCCCTGAGAGAAGGGAGGACTTGCTTCAGGTACACCATGAGAGGGAAGCATTCCTCCCTCTCTCTCATATGTACTCAGTTTATTTGTGCTAATTTTCCTTGTTCTGTTTATGAGCTATCCCTGAAGGGGAGAGACCTGGAACTGAACTGACCGGAGGGCCAAGGCACCAGGGGAGGCAGCCGCTGCTCCAAGGAAAGAGTTAACACACCATGCCTGACCACGAAGAGGTGCCATGCAGTGAGCTGACCCCATTCATGCCTTCCTGTTCAGTCTGCAAACTGTCGACAACAGAGGGATGGTAGGAAGTGGTTCAGGGAGGGCAGCCTGGAGGCACTCTTGGGTGTTGGATCCTTTTGTTAACCTCAGAGGGCCCTGGGCCAGAGCCTAGGGTGTGGGAGGGCCCAGGCTCCCCTACCAAAAGCCCCTCTACAAGTTGAACTACCTAAGCCCTGACCACTAGGTGACACTCCCCACAAGCGAAGATCATCACACCCCCATAGCAGCACAACATGTTGTAAATGAATATCTTCTATTTCAAACTACTACTGGAAACCTTCTACTGTGCTGGAGTGCTACTGAGATCATGCTGCTTAGGTATTGCAGAGGAATCTTCTAGAAAAGCAAGAGGCCAGAGAAAACCCTTGATTCTTGCAATTCCATCTCCAATGTAAAGAATTAAAATGGAGGATCTCAACTATTAAATGGGAGAGGAGATTATGATTTTCCTCCTCTGGGGCTATCCACTGATACTTTCCCAATAATGTGCCTATCGGCTATTTCCCACCTATTCTTCCCAGAGACCCACTACTTCAGTATTCTAGACATGAACACAACATAATTTCTAATCCTATAAAACATACTTTATACCTCCTCCCCAAAAGACATGCCAACTAACTAATAACTACTTTATACTACCCAAAAAACAGTTAAAGCAACTAAAACAGACACCTATTCCCTTCAATACTTGTCCCCCAGGCTCATGACATCTCACAAAAAAAAATCTAACTAAACAGATATGTACTGTAGATATGAATGAATGAGAAATAGTCAAAGATCCTGTATCCTAAGCAACCTCAACGTCCCCACTCCACTGACCCTTTATTCTACATTCAATAGACTTGCCCATTCTGTCTCCCTGTTCCTCTACCTCAGCATTCCCACATCTCCATCCCCTCGTCCTTTACTAGCACCCATTAATATATATGTAATAATTAGAGCCCCATATATTCCACAATTCTGTCACTGCAGAATTTGCCTCAAAACGGATCTCCATAATCTCAGGTTTGATAGGGGGGAAAAAATGTTTCTAGTCCTTGTAACCAAGGAAATCACACTGGAAACCATGAACAACTGTAAACTGATGTAGAAAAGTTTGCTTGAGTCTGCAGACAGCCAGAAACAATAGCTCAGAGGTGTGAACTGCTTAATTCATCTCAATCAGGATCTTGTGGACTGATCCTGTGGTGGTTAGATTTGACATGCCAAGATACCACAGAATTAAGCATTCTTGCCATGTAATCTGCAATTCTGCTGCAGCCAACTACCCCACATTTTATTTTGTCTCTCAGTATTGGCAATCCAATGTGTTCAAAAATCATGGGGTAGGCCCCCCAAAGTCATATGATTGTCTTAAAATTCAGAAGATTTAACTCTCAACCTACCGATCCACCCACACACTCACTCTCTCCAAGTTTTTTATTTGCCTTCTGTTTTTTGAGCCATTAGTGTATGCTCCGGTCAGCTTTCTGAGCTTTTCTCCACAACATGGGCTAGAAACCTTGTTTCTTAAAAGAAAACACTGAGATTCTCATCTAAACACTTGATTCCAGAAGCTCTGGCTTTAAGAAAAACTTCATAAAATCATTAAAGTTGGCAGCCCTGGTCTTGCTAGTCTACTGGGATATGCTTGTAGCTGCCTCTTGCTCCTTAGTTTTCCTAGTAAGGCGGAGTTAATTGGATTAGTGTATGCTCCCATAGCAGAGGGTCAAGAGTGAGAGCTGTAATACATCTTGTAGCCAGGAAACAGGGGAGCCAGAAATGTAAACTGGCAAAATGAACTGCCTGGAGAACAGTGCTGCAGTCAAGGCCTGGAAAACCTGAAAGATAAGATGAGGAAGCTGGCTACAAGCTCCCTTGCACACAGAAAAGAAAAGAAGGGTCTGAGCCAGACTGCTTGGACAACATAATGAAAGCCCAGGCTTCGGAAGTGGAGCCACTCCACCTGGAGAGCACAGCAAAAAAAATCCGATCCTCAAAAATAACCAATTAATTTTATGTTAATGAATATTTTCAAGACTGAGCCACAGATTTTGTGTGGGGAATAGTAGAATGAGAATGAATAGTATTTCATGTTTATAAACTAAATTAAAGTTTTCACAAAAGTTAATTCTGTTGTGTCGCAGAGTACATTATATCTTGACAATGCTTTCAAGACAATGACATGCACCCCACCTCAAGTTACTCCTCAGATTCGTTTTAGACATCAGCACACCTACATAACCATCCAGAAACACCCAGACGTGCTGCTACCTAGTGGGAGGGAAAGCAAGCTCAAACTCACCTCACCTTAAGTAGGAAAACGGGGGGAGGGGGGGGGAGAGGGAAGAAATAACTCTGATAGGCAGAAATTCTACAGGAAGATGAAAGAAAGAAGTGTCCGAATGTTAGGTGGGAGAAGGTATCATCCTACTAAAATGCTTTAAGATATTTCAGAATTTTAGCAGGATGATACCTTCTCCCACCTAACATTTGGAATTAAGAACCTTCTAGTTCTACTGCTTTCTTTAGCACTACTCCCATTTCAATTGGAATTAGGAACCAGATATCTATCTATCAATCAATAAAAAAAATTCAGCTTCTGTGCCAGGCCACAGAAAGTCTACCTGAACAGAAATGTATTAAAATTGAATACAGTGAGGGTGGATGCTATATTTATTTGCTTTACTCTACAAAACCCTAAATACATTGCTGCACTAACTTAATCCTTAAAGGAAGCAGACAGACAATTTATAACTTTATACCAGAAAAACTATATTCTGTAACCATATAGAAAGTTAACTGATGAGTTAATTTTCAATTTGCTGACAGTAGTACCCAATTAAATTTCTCTAACACTCATTACCACTAGTTTTTCATGACATATAATTAAGAACATGTAAAACACAACTAACTTTATTTTAAGGGTGCCAGCATCCCACAGCCAAAAACATATTGTTCCATCTGCTCCAGTTGAAGACAGATATCTCTTTGATCCACTGCACAATGGAGAAAACTGGAGGAAAAAACAAACAAAAACCCCCACAGGTTAAAAAAAAAAGTATTTGTTCAACTGCTGTCCCAGTCTCTCAAACAGAAACAAATGACCCTAATTATTCAGTCTTTATTGAAAACTCAAGTAGTACCCAACACTACTAAAGGAAAAGTCACATAGTAGAGGAAAAAAATCACATGGTAGCAACACCAACTGGTAAAATATTGTAAAGTTCGTCAGAAGGATTATCTTCCCACACTAAAACAATCCTCATGGATGAATCCCCTAGTCCTACAAGTCTACATGCAAACCCAAACATAAAAAAAAGTTACTTACCTTTACAGTAACTGGAGTTCAAGATGTTTTGTCCTATATGTATTCCACTCTAGTTGCACATGCACCAGAGATTTCTGCTTAAGAGCAGTGTGTGACCAACTGCCACTTGAGCCCCTTTTCTACCACAGATCCCAAAGAGTACAGGAAGAGTCCAAAGCAGAGAGGAAGAAAGGCTGATCACGGAATACACATAGGGACAACACATCTCAAAGAAGAACAATGAGCTATCTACATGGGGATGGAAGGTACTAATAGCCATCAGATGTACCCTGAGTGAGTTCTCCAAGGTCTTTGGCGAAAGGATATAGTCCAAAATATAATGTATTTAGGACTCTAGAAGCACAAGTTCACACTAAGCCACAAATCTCTACCACTTTTTGTATTGTACACTTTTCTTGTAGAATCTTTTCTATTGTTGATCAGAATAGTTTGCTCCTCTGAATAACATATCTTTTCTAGTTCTGACATCCATCCAAAAAACGTGGTTAGGTTGAGATGGATCAGGATTACCGATGATTCCCATGTTCTGAGTCAAGAGGCTTACTGACAATTCCCATGTTCTGAGTCAAGAAGTCCAACAGCAGAAATAATTGAATCAGAGGATAAGTGGAGAAGCAAAGTAGTTCTGGAAACCAATACTGTATGAGCCACGAAGGAACTACTAAGATAATTACTGCCTTTTCCTGTTTGATTTTCCTGCAAAAATTAAAAACATATCAACCAGAGAGTTTGGATTCTGACCCCCTCTGGAACAAAAACTTTTGACATTTCTTGTTCCTGTCTGTTGCAAACAAATCTACTGCCAGTCACCACCACTGGTGGAAAATGAACTGAACAACAGATTTCTGAATCTCCTATTCATGTTCTGTGGAAAATTATTTGCTGAGGTTATCTGCTAATGTGCTCGGCAGACCTGGCCGGTTATATATATTGATATATATCAATATCCTGGAGCCCAGAGGAGTTTACAGCTTATTGCCTATGAGCACAGAAGAGATGATTGTGCTCTCTGCTTGTTTATATAAAACACTGTAATCATGTTCGTCATGATCTGACTAGGCTGACCTTGAATCATTGGCAAGAAGTGTATGCATATGCTGTAAACTCTTCTGAGCTCCAGGATATTGATATATGTAACAGTGACTCTTCTAGACTCTATATGCATCTGTTGCTATCGTTCTTATCGGAAGGGGTAGAACAAAGGAAAATTCAATACAAACTGCATTCAGGTTTTCCACAAATTGAAAGGGAAGAGAATCTTTTGTGGAACTGATACAATCATGTCCAGACTGTGTTTGCTCAGGGCATACGCTGTCCTCAACCAAGCTTACATTCAAAGTAGATGCAGTTTCGCATGCAATGTCATGGAAGCGCAAGAGGCCATGGGACCCCTTAGACTGAGGCAAGATCTTACTGTAATTTGCAGAAAAGGCAGTTACCTTTTTCCGTAACTGGTGTTCTTCGAGATACGTTGCTCAAGTCTATTCCACAGTAGGTGTGCGTGCTCACCACGTGCACCGGTGCCGGAAGTTTTTCCCCTAGCAGTACCCATAGGGGGGGAGGAGCGCCCCCCGCGACCCCTGGAGTGGCGCCTGCCTGGCGCGGTTTAAGGGGAGCTGCGTGCTCCCCCCACCCTCAGTTCCTTCTTGCCAGTCAACTCCGGCAGCAGGGAAGGAGGGCGGGATGTGGAATAGACATGAGCAACACATCTCGAAGAACACCATTTACGGAAAAAACTGCCTTTTCTTCTTCGAGGAATTGCTCATGTGTATTCCACAGTAGGTGATTCCAAGCTGTATCTGCTGGAGGTGGGTAGGAGTTCACAAGTTCTCGGGACGGAGTACTGCCCTGCCGAACCCGGCGTCATTCCTGGTTTGGGAAACTATTGCATAGTGCGAGGTGAACGTGTGAACTGAAGACCACGTGGCGGCCCTTCAAATGTCCTGAATAGGGACGTGGGCCACAAAGGCAGCCGATCAAGTGTGCCCTAACTACGGGGGAAGGGGGAACCCTCCAGCTCATAACAGGAGTGGATGCACGAAGTGATCCAGTTGGACAGCCATTGAGTGGAAATCGGTTGGCCTCTCGCGCACTCAGCTGAGGTGACAAACAGCTGCAAGGACATTCTGAACGGCTTGGTTCGGTCGAGGTAGAAAGCCAGAGCCCGCCTCACATTGAGCGTGTGGAGGCGGCGGTCCTCATTAGTAGCGTGGGGTTTGGGGCAAAGGACTAGTAGAAAAATGTCCTGACCCATGTGGTAGACGGAGACCACCTTCGGGAGGAACGTGGGGTGTGGGCGGAGCTGGACCTTGTCCTTACGAAAGATCGTGTATGGCGGCTCGGAGGTCAGGGCCCTGAGCTCCGAGACCCACCTGGCCAACGTGATAGCAACCAGGGAGGCTACCTTCCATGAGAGGTGAGACCAGAAACACATGGCCAGCGGCTCAAACGAGGGCCCCGTAAGCCGAACCAGCACCAGATTCAGGTCCCACTGCGGTACCAGGGTCTTAGAATACAGGTAAAGCTGGTCCAAACCCTTAAGGAACCGGCCAGTCATAGCATGGGAGAACACCGGGTGTCCTTGCACTGGGGGATGGAAAGCCTATATGGCTGCCAGATACACACTCACTGATGAGGGCGCCAGGCCCTGGGCCCTCAGGCGGAGGAGGTAATCAAGGATAAGCAGGATCAGGGCAGCCGTTGGGGATACACCTTGGTCGGTCGTCCACCTAGCAAAACGAGACCACTTCGCCATGTAGGACCGGCGAGTGGAGGGCCGTCTACTCTCAAGGAGGACGCGCTGAACCGGAGCTTAGCATGTCCTTTCCTTGCCACCTAGCCACTGAGCAGCCACACCGTGAGGTGAAGAGCTTCGAGGTTGGGGTGGAGGAGACTGCCCCGGTCCTGAGAGAGTAGGTCTGGGCGGAGTGGCAACAGCCACGGCAGAGCCACCATCAGGCCCAAGAGGGTCCCGTACCAGTGCTCCCTGGGCCACGCTGGAGCAATGAGGACGACCCTGGCCTTGTCCGTCTTTATTTTCTCTAGGACCCTGCTGATCAGCATATAGCAGTTGGCCTGACCAGGGCAGGATAAAGGCATCAGAGATAGCGTCCCTCCCCAGGCCCCCTCTGGAGCAGAACCAAGGGCATCGTCGGTTCTGTCGGGTCGCGAATAGGTCCACCTGGAGGGCCACTCTTGCTAAGAGAAAAAATCCCTGCTCAAGCAATCCGCCCTCACATTCCGGGCGCCCGGTAGGTGAAAGGCTTTTAGGTGGATGTTGTGAGCTACACAGAAGTCCCACAGACTGAGGGCTTCGTGGCAGAGGATCGGGCCCTGCCTTGCCTGTTGATATAGAACATCAAGACCGTGTTGTCCGTGAGAACCCTGACTATGTTGCCCTTCAGGTGTGAGCGGAAGGCTATACACGCCAGTTGCACCGCCCTGAGTTCCTTGATGTTTATGTGAAGGGTCAGGTCTTGCCGAGACCATAAGCCTTGGGTCTGAAAATTCCCCACATGGGCTCCCCAGCCCAGGTCCGATGCATCGGACACCAGCTCCACGGACGGGGCCCTGTCCCAGAACGGGACCCCCTGAAGCATGTTGCTCGGTGTGGACCACCACCGTAGGGAGGCGGTCACCGAGTTCAGCACGGTGAGGACCTTGTCTAACCTGTCTGTGGCTTGGGAGAACTGCGAGGCCAGGCAGAGCTGGAGAGGCCTCATCCTGAGCCTGGCGTGGCGGACCACATACGTGCACGCCAACATGTGACCTAGCAGCTGTAGGCAGGACCTGGCTGTCGTCACCGGGAACCTTACGATCGAGTCGATGAGCCCTTTCAGGGTCTCGAACCTGTCTGGGGGGAGAGAGGCCCTGGCCAACGTTGCGTCCAGGAGCGCCCCGATAAACTCTATGCGTTGGACTGGGACTAACGTGGACTTGGTGTTGTTTACCAACAGGCCCAGGGCAGTGCATGTGGACAGGAGGAGTGCCCCATGATCCCTCATGTGTGATCGGGAGGTGCCTTTGACCAGCCACTCATCCAGATAGGGGACTATCTGGACTCGCCGGCGCCTGAGGTAGGCTGCTACTACTGACAGGCATTTTGTAAAAACCCAGGGGGCAGTGGACAGACCAAACGGGAGGACCGTGAATTGGTAGTGATTCTCTCCCACTACAAAACGGAGGAAGTGCCTGTGCCCCTCTAATATGTGGACATATGCGTCCTGTAGATCTATGGCCGCGTACCAATCCCTGGGATCCAGGGAAGGGATGATGGAGGCCAGAGAAGGGATGATGGAGGCCAGGGAAACCATGCAAAACTTGAGTTTTACCAAGTACTGGTTCAGATCTCGCAGGTCCAGTTTGGGTCTGAGCCCCACTTTGGCCTTCGGGATAAGGAAATACTGGGAGTAATACCCCTTGCCCAGGAACTCCTTGGACACCGCCTCTATCGCTGCTAGTTCTAGGAACTTCCCGACCTCCTGCTTGAGCAGACCCTCGTGTGATGGGTCCCCTGAGGGGGGGGGCTGGAGGGTGGTTGGGCGGGTAGGAGGTAAACTGGAGGGTGTAACCTTGGGAGATGGTGTTGAGGACCCAACGATCCGAGGTGAGCCATGACCATTCAGGGAGGAACGCACACAATCAATTGGAAAAAGGGAGCTTTGTTGGGGATTGATCCCTGCTGA